GGGGGGGGGGGGGGGGGGACGCAGACGGGAGAATTATGGGGGGAGGGATTCTTCGCCGCCCCGGGTGCAAGCGTGGGAGCCAACCGTAGAGGCAGCCGGGATAGGCTTGGACATGGGGTCGTATGCGGGATGGGCGGCGGGTCTCAGGAACCAGTGGGCTGGAAGCCTGGTGCGTGTACCGTGTCTTCTTGGATGTTTCATTTGTTTGGTTAAGAGAGTCTGGTTGGCGCGGCTGGCAGGTGTAGGTGGGCTCATCGATTGGCGCATGTATTGTAAGACTGCTGTAAATTTGGAGAGCGGGGCGACACTGGTCTGGCCAGCAAGCAGTACACGGGGGCGTGGATGTTCGCGGTAATGTTGTTGACAACGTTTTGAAAATCTTGCTGGCTAGACGTGGTGAGACAGGCGCCTTTCTGACAAAACCGCAAGGACTGGACATTGCGTCGGTGGAAGTCGCTACTGCTGTACTCTCCGATTCAACATGGCATGCTTGATCCTAAACGGCCGTTTGCATCATGCGCGAGAATGACAGCCGGCACGACCTCCTCTCCGCTCTGCGCGAACCCCATAACAACATGTTATGCTGCGCCCGACCGAAGGGACAGCAACCGCTCGACCCCCTCCCTCTTGTTTGCTCATACCCCAGCCCCCGCCCCGCTCTGCGTAACACCCGCATGTTGTACAGCGCCCGAGGGAACAGCAACCGCTGGCTCCCAAAGACCTGCTGCTCATGCTTCGTCCCAACAGCGAAGGCTTCTTCGACTGCGACGGCGCCGACAAGAAAGGCGGCACTCAAGCGGCGCACATGATAGGCGCCGGCGCCGGCGGGTGGGGTGGTGGGGGTGCGGCGGCGGCGGCGGCAACAAAGATGGCCGTTAGCGTGGTCGGAGGCGGTGGCGGCGGCGACGAGGGCGACCGTCGGAGCTCGTGGAGCGACTCGCGGGAGGCGTGTCGGGAGGCCGGGGAGCTGCTCCGCGCCATCCGCCGCGATTCAGCTCCTGCCGCCGCCGTTGCCCCATCATCATCGCCGAAGCATGCAGACGGCGGCCGCCAGACCCGACCGGACACACCAGAGGGTCCAACCGCCGTTGCCCCATTATCATCGCCGAAGCATGCCGGCGGCGGCGGCGAAAGGGGCGAAAGAAACAATGTACCGGGCGATCTTGAGCAGGGCCGCCGGTGGCGCGACGCGGGTCGCCGGCTCCCGGAGGGACATGGCGGGAGCGGCGGCGGCGGCGGCGGCGGAGACACCGACCACGGCTACGTCGAGAGTTTCACGAGCAACTGGGGGCGTTTCGATCACAGCGGCCACGACGGCCGCCTCGCCTCTACACTGCCTTCCCCGGGGCTGGCGCTGAGGGAGTGCCACCGCGAGTACTTCCACCGCGCAGACACCACCGCCGCCACCGCCGCTCCCGCCCTCCAGCCCAGCCACCGCATTCCTCCCGGCGGCTATCCCTACAACCGCAGCCAAGACCACCAATACCCCTACCAAGCCCGCACTCTCCACCACCAATACCACCACCACGCGTCCACGACGACGACGACGCCTCTGCATGGGGAATGGAACGCCACGGGAAGGAGGAGCCCAGCCGCCGCCGCCCCGCCTTCTTTCGCGCAGGTTGTCCTTGCGGCGCACCCGCCGTTTCCCGGGGGCGGCGGAACCGGCGACCAGCGCGACAGCGGCGGGAAGACCGGGGCCGTTTCGTCCGAGAGGTGCTGGAAGGGGGGCCACTGGTCCGTACCGGCGGCGCTGTCGGGGGCGGGGCACCACGGTGGCCCCTTCCCGATCTCGATCCCCGTGCCTGTGCCTGACCACCACGCCCCCCCGCCGGTGTTTGGGCGTGTCGGCGGCCCCTTCCGTGAGGGGAGCCGAGGTGCTCGATCGTTGCAATAGGCCGCGGTGACGTCGATGATCGATGTGGTGGATGTGGGTGGGCGCAGGGATTGTAGAAAGGTGTGTGGGGGGTGATCGATATTCAAAGTACCCCCCTCCGTCCCGGCTTTGTAGGGATGCGAGGTCAATGGTTTAACGACTACGGCATGCACGACCATGAGTACACCCCCCCTCCCTTGGTTTTGCTATGTTGCGGATGTTTGAAAAGTAAACGCTTGTCTGTCTGCCCGTATCGTGTGCCTTGCTCCTCCGTGCCGTCTACTGCGCCTTTGAAGCTCGGTGGTTTTTGTTTGGTCTGGGTGACACTGCTGATGGCGTTCCGCAGGTGGGGCGATTAGCCGCCTCTTGGAGGTAACTTGCAGGTGTCAGGTGTTGGGTGTCCACAGAGGGAAGAAGCCCATACCCAGGGCTCGATCGACCGCAATAACAGGCGATCCCCGCACCAGTTGTAGTTATGACCCCGTCTGCTCGTGGCTGTAGCACCGGCCTTGGACGAAAACATGGGGGCAAAATCTGCGCGGGGCGAGTTTATGGCGGTAGTAATTTACCCCGAGAGAACGGTGGTTCGTTTAGTTTTTTTCACTCTAAGTTGGGGGGGAGGGGCGGGGGGGGGGGGGG